CCCGCCGGCCACAAATCCGGAATCGGCCGCAACCTCCACCACCGCGCCAGTGGCGGACCCACCAGCCGCCGCCCTGGCGTCCGCGGAGGCACCCGCCAGGCAGGCGGACACGGACCCGGAACCGGTCGCAGCCGCCGCGCTTGGTGCGGACTCACCAGCCACCGCCACGGCACCCGCAGAGGCGCCCGCCGGGCAGCAGGACACGGACCCGGAACCGACCGCAGCCTCTGCTGCGCTAGATGCGTCCGCGACTAGCGCGGTTGCGTCTGGCGTGGCGGAGCCGCACGTAGGCCTACTCCCGACAATCACTCCCTTGTCCTTGTGCGGACACGCTAAACGCTTGTGTCCCACATCTCCACATTCAAAACATTTCATCTGTCCCGAACTGGCATACACCATATAATAACCTTCACAGTGCTTGACTCTGAAAGATACCTCCACAGTCTGTGTGGGTGAGTCTAAAAACATGAACACCTGTCTCCTCAGAGACTGCACGTGCTTGAGTTTAGGGTCTTTACACCCCAAAGTAACAGTTTTAAACCTGCTCGCAAATTTCCCGAATCGACGGAGCTCGTTCTCCAACAGCTCGTTAGGAATGAACGGCGGAACACCTGAGACAGTGATCCGCGTGGAGGGAACCGACAGCAGGGAAACCTGCACAAACAGATCCCTAATGAACACGCCGCTCTTTATCAGCTGGTAAACCAGTGGCTCACTCTTAAGGAACACAACCACAGCTTTGTTCATTCGAAATGCATAAACCAGATTGTCATGTCCTACCTGCTCACCTGCAGCCAGCAGAACCTCCTCAACAGTAACAGAACCATTCGGAGGGACTATCCGCACTCCCTGTCGGATAGACGGAGGCGGCGTCTCGGAGGACGCCATTCCTCCTGAAATACCCGCCAGCAGCACCGATAATCACACCAACAACTCCACAGAAAATACTATTAAAGCAGCTCACCTGATAATGCAGCTAGAAACAGACACAAAACCAATTCAAAGTCTGCGCCACTCGCACGTGCACCACCACCACTCGCTCACATTTACCGGAAACGGAAGGAGAGGAGAGGAGAGACAGGAGGACGAGAGACAGGAGGTGAGACAGGAGGTGAGACAGGAGGAGAGACAGGAGGTGAGACAGCATCTCCTGCTGTTGATGAACAGGAGAAAATTTCAGCGTAGGTGAGACAGGAGGAGGTGAGACAGGAGGAGATAGAGGAGTTAAACCACATTAACTGTTCTCTGAATAAATTTCATTTGCACGAAATACACTTGTTGAAATGAATCTTTGTTATTTCACCTTGACTCTGATTGGTCAGTGTGACTGTGATTGGTCAGTGTGGCTCTGATTGGTAAGTGTGACTGTGATTGGTCAGTGTGACTCATGACACACAGATAAATTAAACCATCTGCAGACGGACACACCCTCCACACTAACAGCTGTCCCGTCTGTCTGCAACTCGTTAACCAGCTTTAACAAGGTTTTAATGAGGCTTCGTCTCCCATGCTCTCCAGCTGCTGATTCACTTCCTGTCTGACTGAAGCACAACATCATCATCATCATCATCATCATCATCATCATCGGAGGCAGAACATGTTTTAATCAGTTTTTACAAACAAAGTCAGAAAAGACAGAAAACAGAAAAAACTGATAATGACAAGAATCATAATTAATCACCTTGTAATCAATCCTCTGTATTAATGATTAAGTAAATAATACTGAATATTAATGTATCACATTATAATAAATATTATTAGTATTACAGTGATATCAGTTTTATAATCTCTAACTTCACATGAAACCACTGAGGGTTAAAGTTACAGCTCAGGATATCAGATAATCTGCCTAGCAACAGGAAAACTCCTCACTGGATTGGTGGAAAAGTTACATTTCTCCTGTCAGTGTGTGTGTGTTTGTGTGTGTGTGTCTTTGTGTGTGTGTCTGTGTGTATCACTATGTATCAGTGTGTGTTGTGGATGCTCCACACATCTCCGTTCAGGGCATTCGCCGCCCCCTGTAGCGTCCAGGTGAACAGGGCGAGCTGTCGTCTGAAGCGCGTCTCGTCGAAGCGGGCAGGGTCAGAGGTCAGCAGGGCCAGGTGCTCAGTGAGCGCGCTCAGAGTGTGGTTACCACGACCATGGATCACATGACGGAACGGCGTCTCCACCATTGACACATACTGAGACAGGAAGTAGTACTCCACCTGGAGGACAGACAAGGACCAGGTCAGACCAGGGCCCTCACACCTGAACCCTCAATGGTGTACAGGTGTGTAGTACAGGTGTGGTGTAAAGGGTTAGGGTTAAAGGGGGGGTTGTACAGGTGTGTAGTACAGGTGTGTAGTACAGATGATGTTGTACAGGTGATGTTGTACAGGTGTGGTGTACATGTGTAATGTACAGGTGATTTTGTACAGGTGTGTTGTACAGGTGTGGTGTACAGGTGTGGTGTACCTTCATGATGCGGGTGTTGTAGAAACGGGCAGTGGTGGGGTCATGCAGGTCGCTGTAGTCGATGGCTCTCTGCAGAGTCTGTGCTGCTCGGCTGTAATCTCCTCTGGCGCTGAAGACCCACTGAGGGGACAGACCTCTGGACTGAGGACAGGACAGAGACATCAGCTGATAGACATGTAAAGGTTGTACTGGTTGTATTGGTTGCACTGGTTGTACCGGTTGCACTGGTTGTACTGGTTAAACTAGTTGAACTAATTGAACTGGTTGTACTGGTTGTACTGGTTGAACTGGTTGTACTGGTGGAACTAGTTGTACTGGTTGAACTTGCTGAACTGGTTGTACTGGTACAGGTGTGTTACCTGCAGCTCAGCAGAGTGTTTGTTGAGCTGGGCGCTGAACTGCAGAACCGTCTGGGCGTAGGAAGTGATGCGTAGCGGCAGGATGTGGTCGTGGGCCAAACGCAACACCATCTCACCCACCAGCTCCCCCAGACTCCGCCCAGTGACGCCCAGACGACCCCCCAGCACCTCCTGGAGACGGGAGGCGCTGTCCAATGGCGTGTTGATGAATGGGTAAGCTCGCTCCTGAACAAATACACAGAACATGACAGTCGCATGACATGATGTCATGACATCATAGAAACGTGTCACATGACTGAGATGACAAGGAAATGTTATGATAACAGGTACAGTGTGTGATGATGTCATCAGTACAGCATGTGATGATGTCACAGTTACCTCGGTGAACCTGAGCTCCATGGCTGGGACTCCAGCGAACGCGGTGAAACTGTACGCTCCACTGTTCAGGTAGAGAGGCTTCATACTGAGGAGACAACAGAGAGCCAGTGTGTGTGTGTGTGTGTGTGTGTGTGTGTGTGTGTGTGTGTGTGTGTGTGTGTGTGTGTGTGTTCTCACATCCTCCAGCTGCCCCCCTCTATCTCAGCCTGGCTGTAGATGGTCTGACCTGCGTGTTTAGGATGCTCCACCTGAAACAGGAAACAGCTCATCAGGTTCCAGGTCTACACTCATCAGAATCATCATCATCACCTGTCTTCATCAGTTCTCCTAACACTGACTCACCTGAGCAACAGCTGTTCAGACACTGAGCTACAGTTCCAACAGAAACATGATGGACAGATAAGGAGACTCACTGTGGACATGTCAGCCTCTCAGCTGATCACTGTATACAAACGTATATACAAACCTATAGACAGAGGAGCTTTAGATTTAAACATGGTTCATCAACGATTCACCGCCATGAAAAAAGTCTCTGACATTTGTACATACATACACATATATATAAATGTATATATGTATACACAGGCCCTCACAGGTCACCTGTCTGATTGCAGCATCCAGAAGGTCGACCAGCAGAGGACTGGTGTAGGCTGACAGGACGTCATCACCTAGGTAACAGACAGAGAGACAGACAGTCAGAGAGATAGAGACAGTCAGACAGACAGACAGAGACAGACAGAGAGAGAGAGACAGACAGACAGAGAGAGACAGTCAGACAGTCAGAGACAGACAGACAGACAGACAGACAGAGAGAGAGAGACAGTCAGACAGTCAGAGACAGACAGAGACAGAAAGACAGACAGACAGAGACAGACAGAGAGAGAGAGACAGACAGACAGAGAGAGACAGTCAGACAGTCAGAGACAGACAGACAGACAGACAGAGAGAGAGAGACAGTCAGACAGTCAGAGACAGACAGAGACAGAAAGACAGACAGACAGAGACAGACAGAGAGAGAGATAGTCAGACAGAGACAGACAGACAGACAGACAGAGACAGAAAAACAGACAGACAGAGAGAGAGATAGTCAGACAGAGAGACACTCAGACACAACAGACAGACAGACAGTCAGACAGAGAGACAGACAGACAGTTACCCATGATGGCTTGGTCCAGACTGAAGTAGGCCACAGCCTTCAGGTGGAGCATGGACAGGTAACCCTGGTGAACAGAGGTCAGAGGTCATTGATCTACAGTGGAGGCTGCAGGTCAGAGGTCAGTGATGTCAGCAGGAGGTGTGTGAGGCTCTCTGATTGGACGAACCTCCAGCCACTCAGTAGCTCCCACGTTCCCAAACTCTCCGGCGTCCCAGCTGACGAATAGGAGACTCCGCCTGGGACTGAAGCCTGAGACAGAGACACTGAGCTGAGAGCTGTAGGTACAGGTGTTCACCTGTCAGACCACAGTGAGCTGAGAGCTGCAGGTACAGGTGTTAGCGAGGACCTTAACTGTTCAACTACCTGCACAGCAGAAGATGTTGTCATTTATGTAACATCAGAATATTCACACACAGTGTTGACACTGACCGGATGTCATCGAATGCACCACGAGTCTCAGTCATGGTGATGACATCACAACTTAAACTCAACACTTCCTGTTGGTTTGATTGACTCTGAATCCTCCATGATAATAACTGGAGACAGTTAGCTCGGTCCCAGGACAGGCTAACTGTTAGCTTCAGCTCATTTCCTGTCACATGTCTCTCTGATCATTTTTAACATAAATCATAAAACAAAGTGCTGAAGCTGCGTGAAGAGACAGAGTCTGTCTCTAGTTTACTAGTTTACTGATGGCTGCCTCTGTCACAGGTGAGACTCTTCTTCTGTGGCACCTGTCGGAACGACCTCCAGAACTTTTTAATTAGAAACAACTCAAATCTGAAAGTGAATTTATCTTATTAGTTCATTAGTAAATAAATCACTCGTCACATTCATTAGACAGTTTACACATCACAGCAGGTATGTTATTAAAATATTACTACCTCACATCTCCATGGAAACCACTGGGTAACCACCTGTCAACACTGTGGCAACTGCCACAACATAAACCTAGCAACGCTCTAGAGAAACCATAGCAACACCCTAAGTATGTCCTAGAAACCACTGAGTTACCACCTGCTAACTCCACCGACTGTTCAGTAACCACTGACACCTGTCAACGCCACGGCAACAATCATGAGAAAAATCATAGCAACCACCTAGTGACCTTTGAGGAGACCCCAGTAACCACTTAGCAACACCCTCAGAATATCCTAGTAACCACTGAGTAATTGCTGTTAGTAACCACTGACACCTGAACAACCACCTGTCAACCCCACGGCAACAGCCACAACATAAACGCAGCAATGCTCTGACCTCCTAACAATGCAGACACATTGACCCTTGGGGCCACAGCCCAGTGTGAGGGGCCACACCTATCCAGGTGAGTCTTACCGTTCTTCACCATGGTCGAGAAAGTGCGGGCCAGCTCCATGAGGATCGCTGTCCCCACCCCGGACTTGACAGCTCCTGGTCCCAGTGAGTCCCTCTGTGCTCCCAGTATGATGTACTGGTCTGAGGAGAGACAACAGGGACCAGTGTCACGGATACACAAGTGTACAGGTGACGGATGTGTGTGGGGGCTCACCTGGCTCCACCCGGCCCTCCAGAGACGAGAAGATGTTGTTGAGCAGGACGGGCGTCATCACGTTGTGGACGGACATCTTGACTCGGCGCCCGGAGCTGAACTCTGGACCTACCACGCAGCGGACGTACGGCAGCCGCCCACGCCACGAGGGAGGACAGGACGCACCTGACAGCTGGCTGAGACACAGAGGACTGCAGTTAGGTCACAGTGACACCTGAGCAGGTAACTGAGGGGGCGGGGCTCACCTGAGCAGCTTGGCGGCCACGGTGGCGCTGATCGGCAGAGCTGGGATGAGCGGCAGGCCAGACGACTGGATGGGCGGGAACTGAGTGTGATTAAAAGAGGGAAAGCCAGGGGTGAACGGATCACCTGACCCCAGGTGGACCTGTGATTGGACGAGTCAGAGGGAGACGCTGATTGGTAGAGAGGAGTGAGACATGTGTTTATGTGTGTGTATGTTTTTGTGTCTGTGTGTGTATGTTACGTTTGTGTGTGTGTGTGTTTATGTGTGTGTGTGTCTGTGTGTGTGTGTGTGTGTGTGTGTGTGTGTGTGTGTGTGTGTGTTTATGTGTGTGTTACATGTTCGGACACGGCGGTGTGTGTGTTCAGTCCGAGGCGGCGGGGGTCTTGCGGCAGGTCAGCAGGGTCAGGGTAGATCAAAGCTCCACCTGCCCCATTCCTCTCAGCCAACCAGACCTTCTCTGCGAAACTGACCCCGCCCCCCACACGCATCACCACCACAGAGCCAATCAGAGACACGCCCACACTCTTCAGCCAATTAAAATCCTCTGGACGGCCATAGTTGGCGTAGACCACGCCCCCCTGCAGAGACAGAGACAAGTACAGGTGACTGGGGTCAAGGTTACCATGGAGATGAACAGCTGTCTCTCTGTCTCACCATGGTACTTCCTGTGGCGCTGTACGGACAGAAGTCAGACGGGTTCAGAGGAATCTTCTCTGAGATCAGTCCTGCAGAGTCCAGCAGCCACAGAGAACTCCTCACAGACCTGCAGGGGTCAGAGGATTGTTTGTGGGCAGAGGTGGGCGGGGTCAGTGTGCTCCTACCTTTTGGCAGGGTCAGTTTGTGGGCGGGGTCAGTGTGTTCCTACCTGTCAGGGAACTGCAGCGTGGCGAACAGGGACTCAGTCCAGGTGTGGTCCATGTGCAGCTGAGTGAAGCAGCGGAGGATCTCTGAGGCCAGAGATGTTCCCTCCACAGACCCGGGAGGATGACTCGCCCTGCTGACACGGCTGAGACCACACACAGACCGGGTCAGGACCAGGACCAGGTCTGGATCAGGACTGGGTCAGGATTTAGGACCAGGTTCTGGTAGGCCACCTACCTGACTGTGCTGTGGATATCTTCATCCTGCAGCAGCCTCCTCATCATCACCCTCAGGTCTCCCAGGTAAAGCCCCGCCCCTCCCTCTGTAGACGGCTTATCCCCGCCCCCTTGGTGCTCGTCCTCCTCCCCCTGTCCCCCCACCTGGGAGCAGTGGTACCGCCCACTGAACACAGCGTAGGCCAATAGGAAAGCTGGGAGAGAGACAGGCCACACCCACTTTAATCACATGATCAAACCAATCAACAAAAGCAAGCAACGTTTGTCTGTGTCTGTGTGTGTGTGTTGTCTGTGTGTGTGTGTTTCTGTGTGTGTGTGTGCATGTGTCTGTGTGTGTGTGTTTCTGTGTGTGTGTGTCTGTGTGTGTATTTGTGTGTGCGTGTGTCTGTGTGTGTGTGTGTGTATATTAATGTGTGTGTCTATGTGTGTGTGTCGTCTGTGTGTGTGTGTGTATATTAGTGTGTGTGTATCAATGTGTGTGAGTGTGTGTGTGTGTATATTAGTGTGTGTGTATCAATGTGTGTGAGTGTGTGTGTGTGTATATTAGTGTGTGTGTATCAATGTGTGTGAGTGTGTGGCTGTGTGTGTATGCGTGTGTCTGTGTCTGTGTGTGTATTAGTGTGTGTGTATCAATGTGTGTGAGTGTGTGTCTGTGTGTGTATGCGTGTGCCTGTGTGTGTGTGCGTGTGTCTGTGTCTGTGTGTGTATTAGTGTGTGTGTGTATCAATGTGTGTGAGTGTGTGTGTGTGTGTATTAATGTGTGTGTGTGTGTCTGTGTGTGTATTTGTGTGTGTGTGTTGTCTGTGTGTGTGTGTCTGTCTGTGTGTGTGTGTGTATATTAATGTGTGTGTCTATGTGTGTGTGTCGTCTGTGTGTGTGTGTGTGTGTGTGCATGTGTCTGTGTGTGTGTGTGTTTCTGTGTGTGTGTGTCTGTGTGTGTATTCGTGTGTCTGTGTGTGTGTGCGTGTGTCTGTGTCTGTGTGTGTATTAGTGTGTGTGTGTATCAATGTGTGTGAGTGTGTGTGTGTGTGTATTAATGTGTGTGTGTGTGTGTGAGTGTGTGTGTGTGTGTGTTTGTGTGAATGTGTGTGTGTGTGTGTACCGATGGTGAAGATGACGACTCCACACACACACAACAGCGCACCAGCTCTCCGGTAACCACGGTAGCGCCTCAGCACCAACGCTGTGATGTCACTGCTAGGCCCCGCCTCCATCTCCTCCTCAGCCTCTGATGTCACAAACCTCATCTCCATCCTCAGAGCTCCTCCCATCTCCTCATCCTCGGACACGCCCACTGAGCGGTGGAGAGACACTGAGGAAGACTGGAGAGAGAGAGAGAGAGGGAGTAACCATGGCAACTGATCAGAGGGGGAGGGGCTTCCACCAAGTGTCTTACCTGTGTTAGATGAGTCCTGATGGAGTCCATGGAGACCTACAGGAGGGAGGAGACAGAGGATGATGTCACGTGATTATCATTGTTCATCAGAATGACAGTGATCACCTGACTTGTTCTGTGGTTACTCTCAGGTGTCATGTGACCTCTTCTACCTGACCCTCAGACACAGCTGGTCAACGCCTGTCTCTGATTGGAGGAGGACACGATGAAGACAGACCAGTGAGTCCAGGTGGATCGTCCTATTCCGTCCAGGTGACGAGAGAAGTGAGGACGGAGCATGGCTGGATCTGTCCCTCGGCCGCCTCTGATTGGTTCCTCAGAGGGGTCAGAGGTCAGCGTGAGCTGTCTGTTTGATCTGCTTAACTTTATTAACAGCTAAGTAAACACACATAAACACACACACACACGTAACACACACACACACACTCATCTGCTCTGTTTGTGTGTGTGTGTGTGTGTGGTCATCCAGTGACCTGCTGATTGTGGCTCCGCCTCCTTCATCCTCCAGTCGTGAACAGAGAGGCAGCAGCTGAACAACTGTTGAGTGATGTGTTCAAGGACAGGAAACTCTGTCTGTAAATCACAGATCTCATGTTCTTCACTGTGTTCAGTCTCTGGTTTCTATCTGATCAAATGTCTTAATGTCCCTCGTCTTACAAAGCTTTTAGTGGGAGGAGTTTATTGACGTCAATATCTCAAACAAAACTATTCAGAATATGTTTGATTTCATCTCTTACAATATTGTATCCTATAGAAACTCAATTTTACAACTTTAGTCTAAACGTGATATTCAAACTTTAGCCAAAGCAAAAGATCTGACCTGTGACGATGCTGACACTACTGAGCATTTATTTATTCATAAATACGACATTATTCACGGACAAGTGTAAGAGAGTGGAACCTCGATGAGTTCGTGTCTAACACAAAAGCATCAACACTTTCTAGAATAACAGATTCTGATTTACAGAAGAGTCCTTCAAGTGTTTATGTTCTGTTATGTTTAATATCGTTTCAATCTCTTACGTGTGTTGATTTATCATTATTATATCATTTATTTATCATTTTACCTGTTCCCTTTTGTAAATTGTGAAGATCTTAAAGCCAAGTTGTTGTATATGAAATTTTTTTTTTTAAAAATCCTCCTCATGGTTTTTAGTGAAGGGGCTTGTGATATAGTCGGATATCAATTAATAGAAGTAGAACATATCTTTAGTGAGCTGACTTTATTTGCAGAACCCATCACGGCCACATCATAAAACGACACAACCTGTCAGTAGCATCATGTGACTCTCCTGTACACACACTGCATCATCCCCAGATGCCACATACAGTGGCGCCCTCTATAGGCCTAGAACTTTAATAGCATGCAATAGCCACTATAACATCCCTCCCTTTAAGTTCAAACAACATCATAGTTTACAGGTAATCTAACACAACATAACTATGACAACTGACTGTACGACCAAACATAGACACGAGCATCCTCTTTGATATTTTTTATCTTTTTATAAACCAAAAAATATATAGAAATCTGAAAACCATTAACTTTTCAGTCTCAGCCCAAAATATGATAAAGAAATGAGGTTATGGGTTAGTTTTTACTGTCGAACTACCCTCCGTAACTTAAAGAAAACACTATCTTTTCTCCACATCTTAAACAGGTCTTTTACTTCACAACAAAGTCTTTCATATGGGCTGGTGGTCTCCTGTTTCTTTGAGATCTGAACAACTCCTTAGTGGGCAAATCACCAGGTGTATTGTTTTCCTTGTTTTGTTTCACCATAGGGGAAACTTTATCATCCACTTGTGTAGTACTTGTGTCCTGTGGCCCTATGTTGGTCACTGTTGGAGGTACCACATACTCTTCAGGTGTCGAATCTGGTATCAGAACTTGCAGATCTTGCTCCTGTCTGCTGAACAGTTGATCCACATGTCTCCTGACAACTTTACCATTTCCCAGCAGCACTGTGTAAGCAGCTGGTCCTGTGATCTCCTGTATCAGTCCTGGTACCCATTTAGGACCACATCCATAGTCTCCTGCTACAAAGTTGCACTCTTTTGCATGTTTGTCAAGGTGAGCTTTTTGGCTTGCTTGGTTTGACTCCACATTTTGTCTCAAGTCGGGGTGTATGAGATCCAATGTACAACTCAACTTCCGACCCATCATCATCTCGGCAGGTGAAAGTCCAGTAGTTGACTGTGGAGTGATGCGACAGCTAAACAGAGCCCTCTGTATTCTTGTCTCCACTGTGTCACCGCTGCTCTTTTTCATGAGCTCTTTAAAGGTCTGTACAGCCCTTTCCGCCGTTGGATGAAGGGTGGTACGGTGCTGATGTGACATGTGTGATTCCATTTCGTGTCATGAAATCTTTGGTTTGTTCGCTGACAAAACACTGGGTACTGCTCAATAGGGGACACTTTGTTTACTGTGAGTTTATAATCCCCACAAATTCTCACTCTGGAGTCTGGTTTTAAGACTGGTACAATGGGCGCTGCCCATTATGAGAACTTCACTGGCTCTATGATTTTCTCTTGTAAGAGCCTCTCTAACTCTTGCTCTACTTTCTTTTTCATTGCAAAAGGCACTGACCCTGGCTTATAGAAACAGGGTGTGGCATCACTAGCTACGTATATGTATTTTTGCAGTGAAGCCTTTCAACCTCCCTAGCTCTGCTTTGAACACTGTTTCATGCCTTGAAAGAGCTTCCTGTAGAGCGTCTTCTCTGTCCTCTATCTTATGTACAGGTTGCCAGTCCACTTTGAGAGCTTTAAGCCAACCTCGTCCCAGTAGACTTGTCCCTGAACCTTTGACAACCACTTCTGCCAACATCTTAGCAATGCCTTTGTGTTCAACTTTGACCTTTGTCACTCCTAATACGGGCACTTTAAGGCCACCATATGTTCTCAGTTTTATCCTGCACTTGGCTAGTCTGGGTTTGTCGCTATCACTGAATAGCTTGTGAAATGCCTTCTTTGACATAATGGTGTACCCACAGCCAGTATCTACCTCATAGGTTACATTTTTCCCGTTTACTTTTAATTCTTTTTTTTATGGGCTCTTCTCTGGGAATGACTATCTCTTCATTTATGTTGTACATGGTCATTACACTATCCTTCATGTGATACACAGTGGAAACAACATCACTATCACCCCCTTCCTCTTGCATGAAATTAGCTCTTTTTCCCTGCTTGCTTTTCTCCCCTTTAAAGTTCTTAGTCTTTTCCTTTCCCCCTATTTTCGTCCTGCAGGCCCTCTTTATGTGCCCCACTTTACCACAATTGTGACACTTCTCGTCCGCAAACCTGCAGTCCTTAGCCAGATGCCTGTCTCCGCCACATCTGTAGCATGTCTTCATGTCACACTAACGTGTTGAACGCGTGCCGTTCACCTTGTTGACAGAGTCGCCACACGGCTCCATTTGCCCTGCTCTTTCATGCCATGCAAATCCACAATGTCTCTGTTCGCCGCCTCCATGGCCTGCGCAAACTTGAGGGCTTTGTCAAAAGTCAATCCGTCCTCCACTGGATCCTGTCGTCATTTATGCCGGACACAAGACGGTTTCTCAGCTTCACCGTCAAAGATTCTCCATAATTACAGTCCTGAGCTAGCTTTCTCAGCTCTGCCACATAGTCACCCACAGACTCATCAGGCTTTCTGTATCTTTTCTTTTTTTTTCTTTTTTTTCCGGGCTTTTTGTGCCTTTATTGATAGTGCAGTAGAGAGAGACAGGAAATGGGGAAGCCGAGAGAGGGGGAATGACATGTAGCAAAGGGCCATCCAAGGCGGGACTTGAACCAGGGCCAACTGCAGCAAGGACTTGTAGCCTCTGCACATGGGGTGGATGCTCAACCAACTGAGCTACTCGACGCCCCAGCTTTCTGTTTCTTGTATTAAACTTCCATCGTTGCATTATTTCGCTTGGTTTCGGGTGAAAATGATTTTTCCAACAGTCTCACCAGGTCACTGTAGGACTTATCTCCTGGTTTGTCGGAGCTGAGCAGGTTTCTCATCGGTGCGTATATCTGGGCGCCCACACCACTTAGCAGCACAGCTCATTTATTTTCTTCATTGTCGATGTCGTTCGCCACAAAGAAATGGTCCAAAATCTCACAGTACTCTTCCCAAGTCTGCAACTTGCTATCAAAAGGTGACACCGACCCAACCGTAGCAGCCATGGTTCTTCACTAAAGAGAACGCCCAGCTTCCCTCAAGCTTTCGGCACAACGTCTATAGCTCCCGCACTGTTAGCACTAGCCTAGCTTCACTTCACTCATTAACTCAGCCAGCACTGCGTTCGTTGTCTTGACTTGCCGTATTACTTTAGGCTTTCATCCTCATTGCCATATGTGATATCGTCGGATATCAATTAATTAAAGTAGAACATATCTTTAGTGAGCTGACTTTATTTGCAGGACCCATCATAGCAACATCATAACACGACACAACCTGTCAGTACCAACATGTGTCTATCCTATACACACACTGCATAATCCCCCAGATGCAAAATACAGGGGCGCCCTCTATAGGCCTTCAACTTTAATAGTATGCAATAGCCACTCTATAACAGGGCTCACCGGAACTTTACATCTTGACAGCAGCGCACACTTCCTGTTGAAGTCATCATGGTCAGTGGGAGGGGCGGGGACAGAGCGGGCAGACGGAGAGGAGAGTTCTGCAGTCAGATCAGGAGGAGGCGGATTCAGCGGGACTCCGGGAGAAGATGAAGATCTGTGTGGTGTTCACAGTCCTGCTGCACTTTAAGAAAAAACACCTTCTTCTAATAGGCAAGGCAGACAACTGCACGAGACCATTATCTGTTGTTTATCTGACTGTTGTTTATCTGTTGTTTTGTAAACATTTCCCTCAAAAATAAAATCAAAATCATGTGTACAGCTGCAATGATCAGTCTATCAATCAATCAGCTGATTGAGCACCTATCTGATAATCGATCGATGGGCTCAGTGTGTGTAAAGCAGCACTGACACACTGCAGGTGTCAGCTCAGGTGTGACGACCTGATGATTTCCTGTACCAAGTCACTGTAGCGTCCGGTCAGTCCTGAAGACGTAGCTGCTCAGAGGACGCATTATAACCTGTTGTATTATATAGACAACAGTGGCTGAAGCTCTTGATGAGACTGGTAGGTAAACAGCTGCTAATGCTAACGTAAGCTAAACTTTAAAACCCTCTGTTGTAGATATAAAACGTTTTGTCTCTGTGTAACATGATGATGTCAGCACATTTTAGTCCAGAT